AATTTGATCTGGGGTTGCTGCTGTAAAAGAAGACATTTTCGGATCGATCATTTGCGCAGAAAAGCTACTATTTGTTCTGTATCCGTACTCCTAGGATAAACAACCACACCTGAGTTCTGGAATTGCGCGAGGTTATCAGCAGTTCGAAAGAAAAAAGGAGACATTTGCGCGTGTAGTCTAGCTTCTGTAACAGTCCGTAACCGTCTGATACGCGCACTTTGACATACTGCTTCCTGTGACGGCAAGTGCGACTGTTTCTTGGAGCAGTTGAAGGCGTACCCAGGAAGACTGAGAATGTGGAATAAGCTGAAAAGAAGCAGAGCTGTGGACGATGTGAAGCGAGGTGCTGGCATGGCAGAAATTCTAGAAGCGACGCTAGGCGCGAGATGCTGGTCCATTCACCGTTGCAGTATGAAATTATCTGCGCTGCCTCGACAGTCTGCAGTCTGCTCTCCCCATATTCTCTAAGAATTTTCTCTCTCCTCCCCGCCCATTATCTCTCACCTCGCTTTCTAACCCTTTCCTCCCTCACACTGTAGAACAAAAAGTCTGTGTTTGTGTTTCGAAAGGTTTTTTCCTTCCTTTTTTTCTTTAGCGGTCCACTTCTACTCTAAAATTCATTATCGAGCCCTCTTCATCAACAACTTGATCCAGAAGAAGGCATTTAAGTTCTACTTATCTTCCCTGATACTTTAGTTAAGACGACCTAAAATATTTTTAAGTTTGTTAACTAAACTTCAAATATAGGTGTAAAAGTATTTATACTAGATTGAATACACCAATACCACAAATGACAAAACATCTCTGCAAACCAATATAAAGACATCTTAACGAAGGTGACAAACGATTAAGTGGAGCAGAGCCTTTGTACAGCAACCAATACACGAATCAAACTGCAGTACCACGTTCGAGATCCTCCTGAATGAAAACAATGATTAGAAAATGTCAAAGAGTTAAGCGCTAAATTCTGTGCGTATGCTCCAGAATGTGTCTCCTCGCTTCAGCTTGCCCCGCTCAAAAGATAGAAATCGAGAACACGAATAGAGAGTGTTCTTTTTAAAGACGAATTCCACGATTACATCATTAAACAGTCCCTCCAACGAATACCCAAGGCACCTCAATCAACCACACTGACAGTGTATGCCATATCGCGCCCGCTATGCTCCTTCGTCTGCGTCTATTGTTCCCTCTCAGCGTTTATTGTCCTCTAGGCTATTTCTCTCTCATCGTCAGACCCACCTAGCATCTATCTACCTCACTTTTAGTTCAGTAAAATATGGGGGCGGCTCAACTTGGAGCAGAAGAGAAGTGAGTAACCATTTTACCTTGATGTCTTCTGTGTACTGTCCATAGAATTTCTCCAATTTCTTGTTGAATCTCATATTCTTGTCATTTATGTAATCAATAGGAGCATCAGGATCGAACAGACGGCGACATGAATAGTCACGCCGTTTCGATCTGGAAGCAACGTCATTAAGCAAAAACGAAAACACCGCCCCCACGAGCTGATCCACAAACCTAGCTCGAAAAGAAAGAACAACGTACTGTCCTTGAACGTCCTGAGCAAGCTTTTCCATAGCTGCCGAAGTCGGGTAGTGAGAACCATGAATCAAAGTGTTCGCCGTTGGATAGAATTGATCAACACCACTAAATAATTGATTCCAAAACACAAACACAAACAGCTACTTCTGAAACTTCGGAACATTCACTCACACAATTTCTCGCATCTTCTTGTATGATTCACCATCGGGTTTCAAATTTGTGGTTAGCCGTGTATGTTGACGAAGTGTCATGTCCTCATAACCTGAAAATTGAAATCGTTCATTAAAGAGTCAGAAAAATTAACTGCCGCTCTTCTTCTCTTTAGCGTTATTCCCGCATAGTCGCAGGGTCTGTTAATAAATTAGCTGCCGCTACTAATTCAAAAATCAACAAATGATTCCACTAAGGCTCAACTAATGTTCGATGCAATCACCGCTTTAAGCATTGTCAAATGTCGGTTAAGAATCTCGATATTCAACATTTTTCCCATAAATAACAAAATGCGATGAAAAATAGCCAGTTCATCCCAGCTAATACGACAGCAGCTCAATCGTCAGCGACTTTGCGATTAATTGATTCATTTTAAATAGGAACCAGCCTTCTCGGTCAACAGTTCCTTTGCTTTTGTAAAAAAAAACATGAATGGACCAAAGAAGAGTACGCAAGAAAGCTTTTCCAAAACATATTTTAGAGCCCAGCCAGCGCGAATACAAGTAGCATCGAAGAAAAACTTACTGGAAAATCCTTGGTCAGGATTCTTCTTTCGTTTCCGTTTCATTTCAATTCCTTGCCACATCGCTGGGTACTTAAGTCTTTCAGACGCTCATAATCCAGGTCTCCTCTCACTTCGAACGTGTATACTGATTGTATGAGACCTCTCCATGACTTGAACCACAATCACACCGTCTTAACTAATACTACCTAACCGCGGTAAGTCTCTACAGCTCCTTGAAACGATCGTAGCATGGACGCTGCCGTGGGACTTCAAAGTAAAAGAAAAATTGAGAGATACCTTTCTTTCCTCCATTTCTTGCAACTCCCATTCTTCTCGAGCTCTCTTCGCCTCATAGTTTGCCGGTAGCTTCTTCTTCCTATCTTCCTCCACTACTTGCTCGTGATTTGCCTTCCGTGACTGTTGCTGAATAGAGGGAAAATCCAACGCAGCAATAAAAGAGAAAGGAATGCGAATATGACAAAATACTCTTCATCGAAAACTGACCCTCAGTTGATGGAGCTTTCTAAAGCGCTCATTCAAATCCATCGAAGGCTTCGAAGACGAGGATGTACCCGGCTTTTCTACTACCGTCTCCATTTTCTAAAAATTGTGCGCAGTGAGTTACCCAACATACACATGACAAAGAACGCCAAGTAAAACAAAGAAAAAACGTACTCATGAATCTTACAGTTGCGGAGTTTCAAATGAGAAGATGAAATACAAAATAAAACCAACAGGACTAGGATGAATCCAAGAAAGCAGCCAACGAAAAAAGCATCGTGACCAATCGATTGGACACAAATTTAAAGGTCGATTGCGATTGGAGCGTAGTGTCGGAACGGGTCACGAGCCTACGCTAGGGCTCTCGTGGGAAAGGCGCGTGTATGTAAGATTTGTATAGGTGTGAAAGCAAAAATAGCCTAAAGAAATGTTTCATTAAAAAAAAACGGCGCAATGTGGCTCGAGGGGGGCCAGTCGCCGCGCGCGATCTCTGCGTTTTTCTGTGTAAGCATTTCCTCTTCGCTAAATCGGGACTAAGCCTCGGGCAGGGGAGGAGGAACTCCAGGATCATAGCAATTTTCATCTTCCCAAAGTTCCTGCCCACTCCTAGGCTTAGTACTACAGGGCGCGGACGAGCAGAGATCGCGCGCGGCGACTGCCCGAGCCACATTGCGCCAAAAAACACATGAATTTAGTCGGATTCTCTTCTCCGTTCCGACGGCAATATGATAAGCCTAGCCGCTGGGCAATAATTCTCCAAGAAGCTGAACTGCTCAAAATCTATCTACCCTATCGAGGGAAAGAAGTAGGAGTCGCACTTATATCACTCAAGAAGTCGTACGGAACGGCAGTCTGTCTACGAAATAATTTTTGGAGGCTTTGGAGATACTATAATATTTTGAGCTCTTAACGGCTTTCGATGTTCACCCGTTGTGCCGACGAATGTTTGGCACTCTGAGGTCAGAAATTTGGAGAAGATGTATCGAAAGGGTCATTCAGGGTAAGTCACAGTGAAGGCTCGAAAAAGGGGAAGCAACGTGAAATCTACACAGTTACATGTGCTTATTTCCTCTTTCTCGGAAAACGAGAAGAGCGTCGAGTGCAGACCACACACCACAAGTGACGGCCAAGAAAAAAGAAAGAAAGCCACTTTTTTCTTGGCCGTCGTCACTTGTGGTGTGTGGTCTGCACTCGACGCTCTTCTCGTTTTCCGAAATAGTGGGTACCTAACCCGGCTCACGCTGCTTTGGAGCAGTTTGAAGGAGGAAAATCAATTGAAATCTCTTCAGCAGTACACACCCTGACTTTGAATAAACCTCTGTTCGAGTACTGTGTAGTGAATTTTGAGGTTCTGGTGCTTATTTGATGTCATCGCCTGTGGCGGCTACTATTAAGATTCCGAGGGGTGAATTTGTGTTTGCATCAGATACAGGCAAGCATTGATCGAGTAAGGTAGCTGGGAGCCTTTTCATCATTTTGCAGCGAAGGCAAAAAAGAGAACCCGCCAGGGAATCGATCCTACGACGTCTCGCACGTGAACCCGGACTACTACCGCTGCACTACTTTCCTTCATAACTCCATTCGGAAAATCGTTTGGCAGATTTGGAAAGCAGATTCGAGATCAGCGTCCAAAAACGCATCCAACGGTGTAGGTCTCTTTACATATGGCCACTTCGACCAATCATCCATTCCTGGTGAGAATGTTTATCAATAGTGGGAACGGAGGTTGTAAATGGGTTGCTTTGGGCGTTTCCTTGACGAATTCTGGACGCGGGGTTCCCGTGACGAAAAAAGTTACTGCTTCTTGTTCAGACGATTGTGATCCGAAGGCAAGCCTGTGCTAATCATGAGTACATCCCACCAGCTGTGTTACTGCGGCTAAAGAAAAAACGGTGTGTAACAATGCACTAGAAAGGAAACTATAGTTTGTTTGACTCCTTTCTGATGTGTACAGTTCTGTGCTCTGCGTTAAGAGCCGCTCGTTTGAAAGGAACTCTGTTTTGTCCTGTGAGAAGCTGCCATATTTGGTGTCAAGCAATGACAACAGCAGTACGAGGCTCTTAATAGGAGGGGTCCATACGTTCCTTCCCAATTCGTAGGGGTTGAAAACTATAACCCAATCAACTGTGACAGGCGAACTTGTGGGCTGAATATGCTAATATCTCCTAGAGACCTTCCAAACAAAAGCTAGCATCCAAGTAGTTGTCAAGTGTTGTTTGGAAGGTCCACGTCGACATGGGCGGATCAATGGGTTTGGGGCGGAGCTTAATGCCTCGTTCTTGGCTTCTAGTGCTTCAGCCCTTGCCAAACCACCCTGCCATTTCTGCACATGCTCTGCGCTTGCGTGCCACTGCATATTTGACGGGAAAAAGCTGAATTTCGATCAAAAATGCCGAACTTTTCCTTTAAACTCGCAGCGCGTGCTGACGCCCTGCATATTATCCATCTCATAGAGATTGAGAGGAAGCCAGAGACCTGCTCCTTTTGATAATATGAGATCAAGTATAGCGTTTGACCAGGGCAGGCACAGCGATCGGTAGGCTTCAATTTTCATTGCTTTAGAGTAAAAAGTAAGTTCAACGAATTGTTCGTTTTCCTTTCAGTGACCATAATATCCTTCGGAATTCTGTCTGTTCAGAGACCTAGGTCGTAAGGGCTTAAAACTTAAAGACACAACTCAGGCAGAAGTCGTGTGAACGATTCCCTTCGGTCTGTAGGATAGACCCCTAGAGGACAATCACAATGTGGCGTTCCCGTGCACGGAAATCAACCGACAAAAGCGCTAGGGCCTTGCAAAGTAAGCTGCTGCAGCTGCAATTTTTTTTATCAGGCTGTTGTCTGGCGCCCTCTCATCTGTTGCGCTCTCTCGCCTCATACTCTCCTCTCCGCGCTTAGTCTCTCATTCCTTAGCACAGCCGATTAGAAGGTGAGTGAGCCCTTAACCTAAGCGTTTTCGACGGATTCTTTTCCTTTTTTCTTCACTGCCGGCCCATTTCGCACCAATACATTCGTATTCGTGTGCAACCACACCAATTTGATCCTGGGGCATGCCTTTAAGGCCCCTTACCCACCGACTAAGTCACTGGAGTCATGCTCCAGCCCGAAGAAGGTAGAGCGATCTGCGTACAGGGTGTGATGCCGCGTCATGAAGTTGGGAGGCAGAGGCTCTATTGAGAAGGGGGATGTCCACGGACTCCACTCGCCACTCGTGATACCGTGCGCGAATTGTCGTCGTAGGCTGCACAAATCACGTTCATGTCTATCCTTGCTCGTATCTGATTCTTTTCTCTTCATTCCAGGGGAAAGAGCACCTTATTTCTGAAGTTTTCGGTTCTTTCTTTTTTTCATCACTATCGCTCCACTTGAGGGCGGAAGTGGTGTAGTGACAAGTGGCGCGCTCACCACGCGAGCGGTCCGGGATCAAATCCTGGGTCGTGAGTCGCCCGGGCCAACCAAGCCTTCCATCCCTCCGGGGTCGGTTAATTGGTACCAGACTTGTCTGGGAGGATAAAAACACTGACTTGTACATCGGCTGGCCCCCGCAAGTCATTGTATAGGCCACATCGCATTCAAACGCCACTACGAATGTACAAATGGAAGTAGAATGCGTGCCGCATCCCAAAAAGGATTGATCAACGGCAAATGCGGCCCACTGCGCACCTCTACTTCCCTTCTCGAGTGAAGCAACCGAACCAACTTGGTCATGTGATGGGTCTTTAAGGTGAAAGGGCTTTATAGCACCGTTGATGTCGACTACATCCTGTACACTGCAAATAAGAAATTGTACGCTCGATATTGCTCTCGTTGTGGGATGTGCCACGCATGTGTCCTTTACTCGGCCGGGTAAATCATTTGAAAGGTGTCGCGTCTAATCATTCGCTTGATTTAACGCTAAAATGGGTGTGTAGTTATGATACAATTTAATTTGTGCAGTATTGTTTCCCTACTTACGTTATTTGTCGTATAATACTCCAAGGGGCGGAAAAGGGTGTCGCTTTGAGGAAGGTAATTTTTCATGGACTCTTTACCTGAACTTCATCCTATCTTTTCACATGTTGTGTTCTTCGCAGCCCCATTCCCTTCAAAGCGTATGCTTTGCGATACGATGGCAACTTCGACAGCAATCGGATGAACAAGGGCTGGCAAGCTGTTTTTTGTGCTTCTTCTAGTGATAACGTCCTTTTGCTCCTTTGCACGTCTCGGAATCGCTCGTTTTCGCTTTGGATCGATTCGCCGATCAATACATATTTCAAGCTCTTAATGTCACCATTTTTTGTATTGAGATATTAGAGGATTAATGTAACTTCTGTAATTCTGTCTTTTTGTGCATGTTTTGTACGGCTGAGATTCAAGCAATCTCTTCCAAGCGGCATGAGGAGCGCTAAAGGCAAGCATCGGGATGAAATGGCTGTGAAAAAGCGCTCACTTATGAATCTAGAGGTGGGAGGTGGTCTAAAAACGAGAAGTGAAGCAAAGGAAACCCCCGGTCACGCATCGAATAAGGCCCCTCTATTTCAGCCGCATTCCAAATTGGGATAAAGAAGCGGCGTGTTGGACGAGTTTCACGAACCCAGTTTTAG